TAATAATAATGTAAGCAAAGTAAATTTTGATAGTTTGAAACAAGAATAGTCTAACAAAGCAAATATACTGACATAATATTATATACTCGATAAGCAAAACTGAGCAAATATAGGCTTTGTTGTTATATGAGCCAAGTGATATTTTATTCGGAAGCAGAAAAAAAAAACCATACATTACTTTACTTTTTGTCGTTTTTCTATTGATTTGTAAGATATTTTCTTCTTTTTTTAATACAAATGGTTATTGGCTGCGATTTGTTCTTTTTGTTACATTATTAACAAATAAAAATTTTTTCCTTCACTCTGATGCATTAATCTAGCTGACATTTTAGCATGTAAAGTACGTTTTTGTATTGTTGCGCTAGACAATTGAAACTTATTCCTTTGAAAGGAATTTCCAAGTAAAGAAAGAGTATGCTTGAGCAAAGAAAATTAAAAAAAACATGTATACGATTTTGTGTTTAATTATGCTGATGCACTGTAAAAATTATATACACTGTTAAATAAATGATTTAGAAAATAACAAAAATTAAAAAAAAAAAAAAAAACTTTTGCACTGTTATTGACTAAAAGGCATTGTAAACTGTTTGTGTTATTATTATACTGTTTATATATTAAAAAGACTTTAAATAAAAGTTGTTGATCGACGATTTTTTCCTTCACACGTTTCTATCCTTACCAAATTAGCTTTTAAAATTTAAAAAAAGCCAGTAAAAAAAAAAACAAGAAATTCTTGCAGACAGCAATCATACAAAGTTATAGGTTATGAAAATAGTAACACTTACATATTAACTTGTAACAGTCGTATCACACCGCTATTATTCCAGGCAGTGTGGGATTGAGATGACAAAATCAAATATTTGACTAAGTATTCCTGAGTTTTGAACCGTCAATGCAACTTTTAAGCTTCCTGTTCATAAGTAGTAGACAAATATTCAAGTACTCGTTTAGAATACGTTCTGTAACCCTCTTGCTCGTAAGAAATTCAGAATGCTCATATTACCTCTAAAGACTTACATCACACCTAAATAGGTCTCTCATCAAGGCTTCGATTTTTAATGCCACTTTGTGTCATGATACTTGTCAATAGAAAATAGTACTGTTTTTGTTTACATTGTCAGGTATATGTAAGTACACGTTTTACTTTTGGAGTTCAGGGCACAATCACAGTTCTGCAAGTGCGATATGTATACAAAATGAATATAAGTATAGTACTTAAAGTATAATACATTTATTTGGACAAATAACCCATGTATAATACGCTTACGCGACTGTATTTCCTTACAAATACTTAATTGCATTTAAAAATAATTTGCACTCAGTGCATCAAGTAAGGGTGAGATTATATCGAAGTCTGGCAGTCTGCAGACTGTCTAATCTCACCCAAACAACCCTTAGTCTACATTTTGCCTGAATTTTTCTTTGCAATTTTTGAACGAACGATACTTTTCGGACATATATTACACGTGTATTTAGACGTTCCGTAACGGCCAGAAGTCGGTTGCTTTGGACACATATAGGATTTGATAAGTTTATAATATATCGTATCATCCTTTGTTTAGCCCCGAAACCTATATCATCGACAAATACTTCATGTCACGCCGATACGTCCGTAAGAACTCGTAACGTAGAAAAAATTAACATTGAAAAGTAAAATATTTTCAATAATAATTGTCGCGACGCTTACACTTTTATTTTTGCAAATAATTGGTATATGGATGACGAAAGTATCAAGTAAGGTACTAGGGGAATCCACCACCCCGACCCTAGTCCACAAAATATTTTACATTTGCAATAAAAAAAATATTGAGCAGAGTGGGGAATCCACTTTCTGCTCTGATGCTCCGATCACTCGGTTCTCAAACGAACCCTAAGTGTTGTATATGCAAGGCATATGTATAGTATACGTATACGACCCATGTAGGGTATACCTATGTAGCATCTCTGCGCCAACATTTTTATAACATCGTCATCCTTCGTCTAGATCTAGAACTCAAACACCAGCTGCACGATAAGGTATGTGTATTTGAGAAAGAGAACGCGAGTTGAGTTGTGTGCGCGACTGCGACGCCGTTTTCGAGAATTCGAGAGACAGGTATTTACTTACTTCTAAACAAAGAACAAAACGTTACATGCTCCGATTTACTTGAACAATAACAATACGTTTTTACAGAGAAAAGTGTACAGGAACACCACGAGCATCAGTACGGTCGAGACCATATCGTCATCATCATCAGAGAGGAAAAAACAGATAGAGAGTAGGGGGAGAGGAAGACAACACGTGCTGCCTGGAGGCAAGGATGGACGCCGTCAATCGCGATGTCATCCTCGCGGACTTTCAGGTGAGCTTCATGTCCATCCGCGCATTGTGCTCTTGATAACCGGTGCTTGTGCTTTCCTGTAAAGCTCCGTAGGATGAGGTTAGTGAACCGATGGGTCTTTCATGTATTTATTGTTGCGGGAATGACATTGACGAGTGCAGATGTAAACTTGAAGGTTTTTCGAGGAACAATTTTAAACTCTCGTGGGATATATGATAATTGTGTTGAACTGGATTTAAGGTTTGTTGTGGGGATGAATCGTGAAAAAAAAAGCTTTCACTCGAGCGTTAGATAAAATTCCGGGTAGAGGTACATATAAGTGTTTGATTTCGTTTAGGGGAATCACTGGCGGAGCATGACTAATTTTCTTTGTTACCGAGATGCAATAGCCACGACGCAAAGCTGCATGTCACTGAGTGTCTCTGCTGTAGCCAAACCGTTGCCCACAGGAAGAAATAAAGCCTAACTTGTTTGTTTTTACTTTTACAGGCTTGCACTGACATCGACGACGTTGGCCTGGCGATTTTGCACCTGGAAACATCGAACTGGGACCTGCTGGTGAGAATCAAACATATTGTTTGGAGTCTTGGATATTTTTCTGTGCAATGGGTTTTATAAACTTTCTTTGTGTACATTTGTCACAGGCGGCAATCAACAATGCCATGCCACAGAATTCACAGCAGTTGCCGTCTGAGATGAACCGGGATGTGGAAATGATCGATGAAATCAAGCCTCGCCAACCAATAGTCTGCAGTCCCTCCGAAGACATTGTTGAAGTCATGCCTGGGACAAGTAGTAACAACTCGAGGATGAACACCAGGGTTCAGGCAAACTTGGCGCGCACAAAAACGCTTCCAAAGCAACTCATGTTTACTGTGCACTACCAGTCCTCCGTTTATCCCGTCGACATAAAAGATACTTGCACACTAGGTCTGTATTTACGGAATTTGGTTATTACTTGGTTTCAAAGAAATAAAGTTGCTGATCGTTGTTTTTGGTTATTTCACAGGGGACTTAAAAATACTAATATACAGTCTCACAAAAGTCGCACCGTGTCAGCAACAATTGCACGGATGGAAAAAAGAGCCTAAAGACGATGATACTGTTTTAAAGTCCCTCGACTTGCCGCGTGAGAATGACTTGTACATGTCGTCTGTGTCGGAAATAGGAGACACGGCTTCGCCAGCGTAAGTTTAACATCTGTATACATTTAACTAGTCTTACGAAAGTAAACAAAAAATTTTTTTTTTCTTGCAGAGTTAAACTGTCAGACCGCGCAGCCAGTACGTTTCGACTAAAAATAAAGGATGAAGTTAAATGTACAACTTATGACCTAAATTTCCCTGGCACAACGACGATTCAAGATTTGAAGAGCAACATATACACGCTCAACGAGGTACCAGTTAGGTATCAAGTGTGGAAAGGATGGCCGCCGCAAGTTAAAAACGACGCGGTGACATTGGCGGGCAGCGGTATTCCTATTTCGGGTAGCACACTCTCTGTTTCTAAATTATCATCTACAAAGGAGACGAAAAAGGTAGTATTTGATTTTAAAAAGCAATTTTTCACAAATAATCGTTTGCTCGTTGAATTATAGGAACTGGTTAATCTCATCGACACAGACAGCTCTCCTGAGGAAGACAACGATGATTTTGAAGATGTGCCAGAATCGTTCCAAATGGACGATGATATTTTTATCGATCAAGTTCAAACTTCGAAAATTCAACACTTAAGTAATACTTGGAAACTGCTAAAATTATGTATCACTCACAAAGGCATCCCTAATCAATGATTAAACATTTTTTTCTAGTTCCCGATCACGTTGATGACGAAGTTGTTGGTACGTTACATTTCTTGGAAGAGTACAAAAAGCGATATGGACCAAATCACCCTAACTTTTTTACCGGCACCCTTGAAGACGCGATGGCAGAATCTTGCTCCAAGCCACCGAGAGATGTAAAAACAATGTCTGGTATTTGATATTAATTGCTATTTCATTATTATTAATCCCAAGTTTTGTTGTGACGCAGAGAAAGTTATTAGCAGTATACTTACATCACGACAACAGTATCTTGGCGAACGTCTTTTGTACACAATTATTAGGCTTTGAAACAGTTTTGCAACTTCTGTCGGCTAATTTTGTAGTTTGGGGATGGGATTGCACTTACGAATCCAATAAACAAAGGTCAGTCGAAAAAATTATGGTTGTTTTTTAACGTTTTAAAGAAACTATTTATTTACTAAAACTTTGATTAATTTAGATTCTTGACTTCGATTCAACAATTATTAGGATTAGGCGTACACACGACTGTCAGGGGTATCGATGTTGATACTATGCCTGTGATGATTATAATTATGCGATCTAGATCCAACACAGATATTTTCACCATTGTTCATGGAAATGTCGGAGTTAACGAACTACTTACTAACCTTATAGAAGCTGTAGATGTGTTCCAGGTATTTATCAAATCTGATTACCAAAGAAAACAGTTTGTTCATTTTACTGATGTGAAAGTTTATGTATTTTAGGAACAAAGACAAAATGACGTTGAATTTGAAGACGAGCGGCAAGCTAGAGAAAGAGTCAAAGAAGAACAAGACCAAGCCTACTATGAGAGTTTAGCTGCTGACAGGTGAGTATTGAATAAAATTTATTAGCTGATAGTAGTATTGAAACATATCAATGTTACAGAGCCAAGGAGAAACGCAAGCAACTACAAGAGAAAATTGAGAAGGAAAAGAAAGAACGAGCAGAAAACGAGAGACTTGCTGATCAAGCCAAGAAAGAGGCTCGCAGGTTGGCTGTAGAATCGTGTTTAACAGATGAACCGTCGGAAGACGCGCCAGGTGTTTTAAAGATAAAGATACGCCTTCCGTCTGGCAAGTTCTTGGAGCGAAGGTTTACCAAGAACGCTAAGCTCCAGACAGTTTTGAATTTTTTGATTGTTAAGAACTATCCCACGGAAGACTACAAGTTGATCAGCTGGCCCAGAAGGGATGTAAGTAAAGAGTTTATGTATTCTTTACTCAAACTTTATCCTACCTTACATGTTTATATTTTTAACTTATTATTACGTCTTTGTTTCAGCTCACAAGTATAGACACGAATCAGACGCTAAATGAATTGAATTTCTCCCCACAAGAGACCTTAATCTTGGAGGAGCGATAAATACCCGGAGTTTAAACTTGAATTAAATTCGAAATTTAACAGAACTGAGCATTGTTCGTGTACCGAGTATTTATTAAACAATTTTCTTAGTTGGATAAAAATAAAAAATTTTTTGTCTGTTTACTAAACAACTACGTTTGTATGCAGTGCTCTTTTTATACATACAGTAATACCAAGTGGTGAACGTAGTTCTTTTATAAAGATAAATTTCGCGAATAATGATTTTCATGCATGGAAAATTGTACAATTCAAATTAACAAAATGAATAAATTAGATTGTAAAGATCGTTAAATATTTTTTGTTGCTTCTCCAATCCTTAAAAAAAAAAAAAAAAAAAAACATTTAAGGCCACGTCTTCGGTAAAAATATTCACAAAAATGAATTGATTTCCGTACAAGTTTATTTTTTGTATCATATGTACAAAAATACAGTTTTACTTGATAATTGAAATGGTCATATATCCTTAAATAAATACGTTTTGATGACGATACAAAATATTATTACACCAAATAACGTGCCATAATGTCTTAAATAATCAAGTAACGTATCATCGCACAAAAATAAGTTTTCTACGCAATTATTTCATCGTTGTTTGTACAATTTTTTTTTCTTTCGTAAATTATTCTACCTAAGTGAATGGAAAAATGCTCAACTTTACCAATTGTTCACTCATAAATAAAGCGAAGCGGCAAAAATAATGTCTCTCTTGATTAATTTAATCGCTTCACAGAATTTGTTCTCTAGATCGGTGTTACCTATACTCTTGGCTGCTTGTGAAAGTTGACGCAAAACTTCCTCCAACCGTCGCATGCATCTGATGATTGAACCTGAAACAAATTGAAACGTTTGAATTATCGATCCGAGACAAAAAAAAAAAACGATCCAGTGTTAAATAAAAATCACCTTCGTAAATATCAGTCATCTGACTGATCTGCAAAAACGTTGCACCTTTGCACCAGGCATACACAACATCCATTAAAAACGGCTTGAATCTCTCAATGTACGCATCTTCATCAATGTCGATATTCGATTCTGCTGAAATTTTAGCGATCCTCCTGGCAATGTCGTGCATCTGCCTCAAAGGTTCACTAAGTTCTTCTACGCTCTTGGGCATTTCAGTGGATTTTTCGTCGCACACGAAACAACTAATCAAGGACGTCATCTGTGGTACAGTCATCGAATTGAACAGTCCATTGAAAATCATTTCTGTGAGTAGCAACTCGTCAGCTCCGTTAAGTTCGCAAGCCACGCGGCCCTTGATTTCTATGACGTCTGATGCCGTACAGTAGACTAAGCGACGCAGTACTCGTTTTCGGTGCCTCAGTTCATCCATCTGTAGTATCGATTTCGCTCGTTTTAACTCTGTCTTAGCGGCATCTAGTTTTTTACCGATTTCTTCTTTTAGCATATATTTTTTATACAGCTCATTCGCATTGGGTTCCTTTCAGATAAAATACAAAATTGAATCAAGACATGAAATTTATAGAGTAATAAAAATCAAAGTACCTGGTGAACCGGATATTCTTTTAATTTTTTCTCCAAGGCCTTGATTTTTTTAACGATTTCTTTGAACTCCGTTTCTTTTATACGCATGTCCTTGATGGGGTCCAACAAAGGTATACCCTGAGGAAATCTATTCTTCAACTGTTGTACTAATCTGTACAAGTCTTTCCTACATTTTGGTTCTCGCCGTATGTTGGATGGGAACTTCATCCTTACTTCACTTATTTTGGCTACATTTGTAAGTAATACGGAAACTACCTCCACTTTTCCTTCCTCATCTTCTGGGCAGGGAACGGGAGACTCTTTTATGCAGTCTTTAGAAATATTGAGTAAAACATCTAAGGTAATTTTTGATTGCTCAATTTCTTCAGATTCTTTCGGTTTTTTCTTTTTAAATTTTATCAGCACGCCCCAACCAAACGAGCCTTTATCATTTTGTATCTAAAAAATTAAAAGTACGTGTCAAGTGAGGTTTCATGAGATATATATCAAAACTTAAAAGAAAAATGTTTTTCACCTGTATTAATCGGCCCGGCACGCAAAATGGACTCAAATACTTTGGTTTAGTCAAAAACGATCTGAAATCTGCATTGAGAAATTCCAGCTGTTCTTTTATCTTATGATACTCCTCTAAATTTCGATACTGCAATTGATCGATCTTAATTTCCTCGTACTTTTCTTGCAAATTCTTTACCCCTACAATACATTGTTACATTAAATTTATTGTTCCAGTAAACCATAAGATCTTGAAAAAAATAATACTCACTGTCAAATATATCCGGAATCGAGGCTTCATTTTGAAATTGATAAAAACTTTTCTCAAGCATGAATTCAGGATTAATATCCTCGACTCTCAAGAGATTCAAAACCATGTTGTAAGTCAAGTGGAAAGCTGAATTCATTGGATCTGCTTTGCCTTGAACAATCTCCTTGCAAACAGTAGGGCTGACTTGCTCGTCAATCATCAGGATAACGATTCCCTTTTTATCCAAACCTCTTCGGCCTGCTCTCCCTGACATTTGGATGTATTCTCCCGATGTGATCATCCTAAAGTCCTTGCCATCGAATTTTTTTGGCGCCGCAAACACGACTGTCCTGGCAGGCATGTTCAGTCCCATAGCAAAGGTCTCGGTGGCAAACAACGCCTTGATGAGACCTTCACCAAACAAAATCTCAACAGTTTCCTTTATAATTGGCAATAAACCACCATGATGTACACCAATACCACGTCTCAACAGTGGTAAGATTTGTTGAATTTGTGGTATTTTTCGATCGTCCTCGCTCAGGACTTCGATAGCGTTCTTGAAAATTTCGTCCACTAGTTTTTTTTCTTCGGTAGTGTTTAGATCGAGCTTGGCGAGCTGTAACGCATAGGCTTCGCAATCCCTCTTTGAGAAACTAAAAATAATTACAGGGGCGAAATTGTGCTCCATGATCATTTTGACGATTTTAAAAATACTAGACTGTCCAAAGTTCTTCTTTTGTGAGCCACTTCTACGATTCTTTGAAATATCATTTTTTTCTACAGAACCACCTTGCAAGCAATTTATAGCCTTATTAAAGTTATCTTCTTTGAACTGACCGCTTTCATCAACCACCTGTAAAACATGATTCTGTAATTTCTCAGTGGTACATAATGATATTCATGGTTAACACAAATATTACTTACCAAATGAATCCCATCTCCTCCAGCAGGGAAGATGTAGTGCTGTAGAGGTGTAGGTCTGTAGTCTGTGTAGACAACATGACACGGCTGGTGATGCAAGTGAACTATCCATTCTGCGAATTGCCGAGCATTGGGGATAGTAGCGGAAAGGAATACATAGTGAACGTTGTCCGGCAAGAGAATTAACGTCTCTTCCCACACTACTCCTCTTTCCTTATCCCTCATGTAGTGAATCTCATCAAATATCACCCAACCTACTTCTCTCATTACCTATAAAATTACAGTAGGAAAAATTGATAATAGAGTTTTCCATGAACAGTTACCGATGATGCCTGAAAATAAAATTCATTTACCTCTGAGCCTCTGTAGAGCATATTTCTCAAAATTTCCGTCGTCATGATTAAAATGCTGGCTGTGGGATTGATTGTGATGTCACCGGTCATCAGACCAACATCTTTGAACTCTTCACTGAACTCTCTGAATTTTTGATTGCTCAGTGCTTTTATTGGGGTTGTATAAATGACTCTTTGCTTAGCTCTCAGCGAACAGGCAATGGCATACCTGAAAAGGTACGTACAAGTGAAAAATAATATTTAAAAGATGAGTGGTATTGTGAGATTGGGAAAAATGCACACTATTGAAACATACTCGGCAACAACAGTTTTTCCCGCAGACGTGTGGGCTGATACCAAAACAGACTGGTTGTTTTCAATGCACAAAATAGCTTCCTTTTGAAAAGAATCAAGAGTAAATTTATACTCTTTAGCCGGAGCTTTGGAAACATTTTCCAATGGAATATACTCCTTCTCCGCTGGCACTGCCACTTCGTGAGTGCAAGATTCCAATGTATCTATTTTATGAATCCTTATTCTGGCAACGATACTTTCTAAGCTGTTGGAAAGAAAATTCAAAAATATACCATGTTCCATATTTTAAAACTATGTATGCACAGAAACCACTTACTTGATGTCATCCACGGAAACATCAGTTTTTAACTTTTTAAACAATGAGTTACTATTAACATCGTCACCTTGGCGCTTCGCACCAGTTATTGCTCTGAAAAATAAAAGTTTTTCTAATTAACAAAAAGCACGTACGTATAACGTGACAGCTGCATGTTTATCATAAGAGCAACACCACGTGTTTTAACCATTTCACAACCCTTTGATCACGAAAACGAGAACTAATTTACCTTGAAGACGCTTGATCGTTGCACTCGTCAAACGCGTCAAACAAATCGTCAAAGTCTTCCATCGTTTCAGCAATACTTAATCTGAAAAAATTTGTTATCAATCACACCAATTATAGTTACGGTGCGTTCAGACGCAACATCTATGGCAATCGGCATTCCATTTGAATATTTTGAATGCACAACTGCGAGTCTATATAGCTATAGCACTGCGAGAGAGCGGAGAGAGATGACGGATTATTCGCCCTCTCTCTCGCACTCGCGCATTCAAATGGATTACAAAAAAGTATTGACGCCTCACATGAACAGGTCAAACTGTTCAATGGCTTTCGGCAGCAATGGCAATACTTTTTCCCCCTCTTGTTTTGGAAGTATTAGTATCGCTTTTATTGCATTGCAGACTCCTATACTGACGTTGCGTCTGAACGCACCCTAAGTATACGTGAAGTTATCTGTAGTAATTATAGTAATCACAATACTATAAGTAGTGCCATTTGGTCAATTTCATTAAACCCTATAAGAAGAATATTTATACTTTTGGGGGTCAATTTTTGGGTAAAAAATTAATTGTAAGCTTGCCGCAAACAGCATAAACAACGTCAAATTTTTATTTTCCGTTTATTACATTAGTTGCGGCTGGTTTATAATTAATTAAATGGCACTACTATAAATAGTAACAACTATTTGGATCAGCGCCATCTAGCGGTCTTTATTTTTTGGCCAAAAGTGGCTCCTAAAATTCTGAATCAGAGCAATCAGGATTAGAGCCATTTAATGAATTATAAACCAGCCGCAACTTATGATAAAGCTATAAAATAAAAAAATAACGATACGTGTGTTTTTGGCGGCAAGTAAATAATNATGGTAAGGACTTTAGGTGGATCACGTCGGGAGAATACATTCAGATGTCTGGTAGAGCAGGCCGAAGAGGTTTGGATGAGAAAGGTATTGTCATTTTGATGATCGACGAGCAAGTTAACCCTGTTACTTGCAAAGAGATCGTTCAGGGCAAAGCAGATCCAATCAACTCAGCTTTCCACTTGACTTACAACATGGTGTTGAATCTCTTGAGAGTTGAAGAAATCAATCCTGAGTACATGCTGGAAAGGAGTTTTTACCAATTCCAAAACCAGGCTACTATTCCGGACCTATATAACAGTCAGTTTCTTTTTCCTATTCATCATTTTGTATTGCAGAATGCATTGCTTAAATTTAATGTGTTGTTTTACAGAGGTAAAACAAATACAAAGTGAATACGACGGTATTAAGTTTGATAAATTTCAAGAAATGACGTCGTACCACGATGTGAGAGAACAGCTGGAACGCCTTAGTGTTGAGTTTAGATCGTTCTTGACAAAGCCGGAATATTTACTTCCATTTCTCACACCTGGTAGATTAATAAAAGTTAGTGATTCTTTATTATCAAAATTGTGGTATTTTGCATACTAGGATGATTAAAATAATGTACGTTTAATGTTTACAGATAAAGATGAACAGTTTGACCTGTTCATGTGAGGCGTCAATACTTTTTTGTAATCCATTTGAATGCGCGAGTGCGAGAGAGAGGGCGAATGATCCGTCATCTCTCTCGCATCTGTGCATTTAAATTGATTGCAGATTGCTATTAATAGTTAAAATTTTTTCTGAGCGAACTATTAGGAGCTTGGCCACCTAGCGAATAGAGCCTGAAGCGCGAGAGATGTGAGACGCCACAGATGTATACATATTTATTTATGTATCAGACAAGTAGAAATAAAAATTGTGCTTTCATACACACCCATGTTCTCTTATAGGCACGCAATCTGTGAACTTCACTTTACGTGGACATACTTCATTTGAAAAAGTAGCGTTTTTCATTAAAATTCCTAACCTTATATCCACGTAATTACGTGGATTTGGTGCGAATAGACACAGCGTTTTCTTTAAAATTCCTAACCTTATATATCCACGTAATTACGTGGATTTGGTGCGAATAGACACAGCGTATAAACAATGGCAGACGTTGACGATTTGTTTGGTGCCTTTGAGGAAACAAACGAAGAGGAATCCGAGTCCAGGTACGCAATTTTTTTTATTCCCTATCACCAGCTTTCGTTGAAGCGTAATAGCGTTGTCAAGATAACCTCAGATCTGCCGGTTATTGTTTTGAGAGGCAATACAACACCTATCGAGTATTCAACTATTTTTCAGGAAATGCACTGGCGTCAAACGCGAATTAGACGACGAAGTGAAGGAAGAGGTCGTCGTGAAGAGACTCAAGATCGATGCTCTCTTGGAAGAAATCAAGTAAGTAGTTCTGTGTTTACTGAGCTACAGCTCTGGTGATGCTCATTGTATGTTTTTGCTTGCAGTTTGAATGAAATTGCGTCCAGGATAAACGTACACAGTATTGAGACCATTGAATCTTGCACGCATGAGGTAGCAGTGCCACCGGATCAAGAGTACGTCCCTCTGGAGATAAGCTATAAAAAACCGGCCAAGGAGTACAAGTTTGTTTTGGATCCTTTTCAAAAGGAAGCCATACTTTGCATAGAAAATAATCAATCCGTGTTGGTGTCTGCTCACACTTCTGCAGGAAAAACTGTTGTGGCAGAGTAAGTCGATCGATGTCACTGTATTGTTTACAGTATCATAAAACTATTTTTATTTTTAATTTGTTATCTTACATGTAAATCTGTTTCAGGTATGCCATTGCATGTTCATTAAGAGATAAACAAAGGGTTATTTACACAACGCCGATAAAAGCTTTGAGTAACCAAAAGTACAGAGAATTTTATGAGGAGTTCAAAGATGTGGGTCTGGTTACTGGTGATGTGACAATCAATCCTACTGCCAGTATTTTAATCATGACTACAGAAATTTTAAGGAATATGCTCTACAGAGGCTCCGAAGTAAAGTTTTTATATTATAATTCATGAATAAATTTCTATGGATAGATTAACATATCTTGGTTTTGTAGGTAATGAGAGAGGTAGGTTGGGTGATATTTGATGAGATTCACTACATGAGGGATAAGGAAAGAGGAGTAGTGTGGGAAGAGACGTTAATTCTCTTGCCGGACAACGTTCACTATGTATTCCTTTCTGCTACTATCCCCAACGCTCGGCAGTTTGTCGAATGGGTAGCTCATTTGCATCATCAGCCGTGTCATGTTGTCTACACAGACTACAGACCTACACCTCTACAGCACTACATCTTCCCTGCCGGAGGAGATGGGATTCATTTGGTAATTTGAGTCAACAGTAAATTATACTGCAATACTCGTTTAAAGAATTTTTTGATGAATTTCTTGATGTGTGTAGGTAGTTGACGAGTTTGGCCAATTCAAAGAAGATAACTTCAACAGGGCAATGGCTTGTCTTCAAGGTGACGCTTCGAAGGGTGACACAAGAGGCCGCAAAGGCGGTATGCTCAAGACTAACGCGGGCCAAGCAAACATATTCAAAATCGTTAAAATGATAATGGAAAGGAACTTTGCACCAGTCATAATTTTCAGCTTTTCGAAAAAAGACTGCGAAGTTTACGCCATGCAACTTGCCAAACTCGATCTGAATACAGCTGAAGAAAAAAGATTGGTTGACGAAGTTTTTAACAATGCCATGGATGTATTGAACGAAGATGATCGTAAATTACCACAAGTCGAGAACGTGTTGCCATTGTTGAGACGCGGTATTGGGATACATCATGGTGGATTGTTGCCGATTTTAAAGGAAACTGTTGAGATTTTGTTTGGTGAAGGTCTCATCAAGGCGTTGTTTGCCACCGAGACCTTTGCCATGGGACTGAACATGCCTGCCAGAACAGTATTGTTTACCTCGTCAAAAAAATTCGATGGTAAGGACTTTAGGTGGATCACGTCGGGAGAATACATTCAGATGTCTGGTAGAGCAGGCCGAAGAGGTTTGGATGAGAAAGGTATTGTCATTTTGATGATCGACGAGCAAGTTAACCCTGTTACTTGCAAAGAGATCGTTCAGGGCAAAGCAGATCCAATCAACTCAGCTTTCCACTTGACTTACAACATGGTGTTGAATCTCTTGAGAGTTGAAGAAATCAATCCTGAGTACATGCTGGAAAGGAGTTTTTACCAATTCCAAAACCAGGCTACTATTCCGGACCTATATAACAGTCAGTTTCTTTTTCCTATTCATCATTTTGTATTGCAGAATGCATTGCTTAAATTTAATGTGTTGTTTTACAGAGGTAAAACAAATACAAAGTGAATACGACGGTATTAAGTTTGATAAATTTCAAGAAATGACGTCGTACCACGATGTGAGAGAACAGCTGGAACGCCTTAGTGTTGAGTTTAGATCGTTCTTGACAAAGCCGGAATATTTACTTCCATTTCTCACACCTGGTAGATTAATAAAAGTTAGTGATTCTTTATTATCAAAATTGTGGTATTTTGCATACTAGGATGATTAAAATAATGTACGTTTAATGTTTACAGATAAAGAACGAGAAGGATACGTTTGACTGGGGTATAGTGGTTAATTTTAAGAAAAAAAATCCGAAAAATCCCGAAAAAGAGACTGCAACGATCGTCGTAGATGTCCTGCTTCACGTCTCCAAAGAATCGACGGAAAATGCGCCGATTCCGTGTCCAGAGGGCCAAGATGGTGAAGTAGAAGTAGTTCCTGTACTGTACACGCTAATATCCCAAATCAGTGCCATCAGGATTAAGTACCCATCAGATTTGAGACCACCAGACAACAGAAAAAATGTGTACAAAATAATACAAGAAGTGAAAAAAAGATTCCCAGAGGGTCCACCCCTACTAAATCCCATCACAGATATGAAAATTGACGATCCCGAGTTTAAAGATATAATCAAGAGAATAGAGACTTTGGAACAAAGGCTGTTTGAGCATCCAATGCACAAGGTACATTTCTTTGTGATATTTTACGATGCTTTATTTTATGCGCTGAAAGGTGAAAGTAACAATTTTTTTAAAATTGTTTCAAGGACCCTGATCTGAATAGTTTGTACGAACAATTTTTGGTCAAGGAAGAGGTTTGCAAAAAACTAGTAAATGCCAAAGCAGATCTAAAACGCGCGAAATCCGTACTTCAAATGGACGAGTTGAAGTGCCGAAAGAGAGTGTTACGTCGATTAGTCTACTGTACTCCTGCAGATGTCATTGAGTTGAAAGGACGAGTGGCTTGTGAGCTGCATGGCGCAGATGAACTTTTGATGACTGAAATGATCTTCAACGGTCTGTTTAACTCATTGACGGTGCCACAGATGACGGCGTTGATTAGTTGTTTCGTGTGCGATGATAAATCCAGTGAAATGCCCAAGAGCATAGAAGAGTTGAGTGGACCGTTGAGGCAGATGCAAGAGATCGCAAAAAAAATTGCGAAAATATCAACTGAGTCCAATCTTGAATTGGACGAAGAACAATACGTTGAGAAATTTAAGCCGTTTTTAATGGATGTTGTGTATGCCTGGTGCAAAGGTGCAACGTTTTTGCAGGTTTGCAAAATGACAGACATCTTTGAAGGTAATAAAACTTTTTTCGCACCCAAGAACGCTTTATTTGTCTTGTGTTTTTGTTTTTTTATTTCATACCCAATATCGTTTCAGGTTCAATCATCAGATGCATGCGACGATTGGAGGAAGTACTTCGACAGCTATTACAGGCAGCTAAAAATATCGGCAACACTGATTTAGAAAACAAATTTAGCGAAGCCATCAAGCTGCTGAAGAGGGATATTGTGTTCGCAGCTTCGTTGTACTTGTAATTAAGAAATTTTATAAATATGTACATTTTTTCAAAGTATTTTTGATAAACACGCGTATATCATTAAATAACGAAAATTTCATCAACTCATTTCAAAGTGAGTTGATAATTAAGTTTTAAATATCAAATTTTTTTTCTCGCCTCTTATTGCGTCAAGACATTGATGTTTATAAATTACCCCTTGCGTGAATTGTACTATTATGAGTTTTTTTTTACCGTTTATACCGATTTGTTGTCCAATTGACTGTGCAAAACCAATTGTATAAAACCATTGTTGTTTATCAAATAAATGATCGTTAGATTAAATTTGTTGTGACTGTGAATTTCCGAAAATTTAAAAATAGCCTAGTTAAAACACACACTACGCAAAAGTGTAGCAAATTGAAACTAGCCATTACCAAATGAGATGTATGTGCAGTAAAAAGTTTCCAACTCGACACGTGTCATTTAAGTTTTAAGTACAAACTACGTACTTCTGCACAAAGTTACTTTTCCATAGCAGCGACCCCCATCTATTTAAAACAATTGCATGCTACATTGTAATACCAGGTTGCAGCCAGGATCATTAGCTGAATAAAAAAGTACGAGTGTCCCCTTTCGTTGTCTGACTAGCGGAGAGCGAAAAAATAAAATAAAATTATTCGCCGTCAAAATGCAGCTTCAGCCTTTCGTCCTATTGTCACTAGTGAGCATATGGCGTCCGAAAAAATGGTCCTCGAGTCTCGCCGTGACACTGTACTCGCTGTACACTGTGGTCTCGCTGATCGTTTACTACACGTTCATGATATCTGAAATACTGGATATTATACTTCTCGCCGAAAACGTGCAGCAAATCATGGAAAACATGATACAGCTGATCAACATAACTAACGTCACGCAGAAGAGTTTCTCTTTTTTGTCGAAAAGGAAAAAAATCATTCGGTTCATCGACATGTTTTTCGACGATGTCGCTCTGCCGCAGACCCCCGAGGAGGAGGCCATTCAGAAGAAATTCGATGACGAGTCTAGGTAATATGATTTTTTAAGTAATGCAGAGTTGATTTTTAGTTGATCAAAATGAAAAAATGTTTTTTTTTTCATACATGATGAGTTGGGAGCTTTCACGAAACGATTACGCTTGGGCCTATTTTTTTTCAATTTTAACAGAAAGCTGGTGAAATGGTTGATTAAAAATATGTTGTGAAAACGTAAAAAAATTTTCTGAAGGAGATAAACAAAGTAGTGTTTTAATTAATGGTTGTGTAGAAAAAACATAAAATTAATGTCGAAATGAAGCGGTTTCGTTATGATTTTCATTTTCTCTTAATAAAAATATAAAAAAGTAATTTCAGAAAGTTTTATTTATTTTTAGCCATGTATTAATAATGAAATTTTTTATGCACCGAAAAAAAAAAATACAATTAATTTTAAGGATTATGAAATAATTAAGCTATATTTATTACGCATTAAATTTTTTTTGTAAAGGGTTATGATAACGATTTTTCACGGTAGCGATTTGTTGCCGTAGTGAAAAACTTAATATAATGATTTTGAGTTTCATAATAGTATTATTAGGGTATGGAGTTTGAATTTTTTAAATAGTTGAGATTACATTATACAAAAACAAAAAAACAAAAAAAACAATAGTACTTCTGCACTCTCCGAATTATAATAATACAAAACTAAAAATACATTCAATAATAAAACCAATTTAGTAAAATATTTTTCATTCAGCCGAAAGCCATTGAACAGTTTGACCTGTTCATGTGAGGCGTCAATACTTTTTTGTAATCCATTTGAATGCGCGAGTGCGAGAGAGAGGGCGAATGATCCGTCATCNTTTTTTTTTTTTTTTTTTTTCTCTCCATTGCGTGACGAGAGATGCACGCACAGCTGAACCAATGCCAATTGTTTCAGGTTTAGCGCCAAACTGAACGGCACCTTCAACGTCATAATTTTCTTTCAATTCGTGACCAGCTCGCTAAATTTGCATTTCATGCACACCCCTCGAAAATCCCTGGCCCAATAAGATTCAATACCATTGTCTACTATAAACTTATAATTGTTAAAAAATCGCTTAAAAACTTTTTAAAAAATTTTCGTACGATTTTATATTTCAAGGTGTACGTAGAATTTCTTAAAAAATCTATTAGACAATCTTGTAGCAATAAAAACTATTTTTTATTGCAATTTTTCCAAAGTATTAATGTTCAATTAATAAAAAAGAAAAAAAAACAATGAAAATTCAACCGCAAACAGACGAAAAAAGACGAAATCACACCAAGTTGTAGAGCTAACACAGTAATTTTTTTTTGTGCCACTTTAAAGACACAAAATACCTATGGGGTTGCAGTAAAAACTTTTTTTTTTCCAGCCCTTTTGTCCATGTAATCAAAAAAGTCGTTCATTCCGGGATTCAGTTGGAAAAAATGATGCTCGAAGCGATTGAACGACTCCCCGCATTCAATGACGTTCCGCATGTCGCTCTCGCCCAAAAACGACATGATATTGTGCAATACCCTGGCCGGGAGGCAGCAACGACTCATCGTGTACAAATACGTAGCCGCCAGATCGTAACAAGAACAATACCGACAGCCGATCCAATACTGCTTCTGCAGCATGGCCTTGTAAATGGGAAAGCGCGCGTCCACCACCAACACCTCGCGCTTATCCCCCTGCCGGACCATTTTCCCGATAAACGGCTCCCCCACGAGAACCACCGACAAGTGCCTCTCGGCCACCAGAAAATCGTACACGCTTCTGCTCTCCCTTGTGATCCTGGTCTCCTTCATCCTCCGCACCTCCTCCCCGCAAAGGTCCGCGAAGCCCGACTCGCCACCCCCAAACACCCCGGCCAACCTCGAGTCGACGCGCATCCCAGCCACGGCCCTCTTGACCAAAGCCCTCGCGACGCAAGCCTTCACGGGCTCGTCCACCAGCGGCGCCCCACCCTCGAGCAGACCCTCCACCCGCGCCCCCACGTCCAACAAAAACTCCACTGCGCCGAGCTTCCTGCCCTCCACGGCGTAATGCAGGGCAGTTTTGCCCCCACCGTCCGGGTAATCGATGGACTCGCAGTACCGCATGGCCGTCTGCTGGAAGACCAACTCGTCACCCGCGCCAACGGCCAAGTGCAGCGGCGCCAAGCCACGGGAGTTCCTTCCGTAGAGATCGGTCCCTTTGGCCAACTTGCGGAGCAATCGTAAATCCTCGCCGTGTTCGAGAAACAGGTGCAGAGCCGTGTCCCCGGCTTGGTCGGGGATGCTGGGGTCGGCGCCGCGGTCCAGCAGCAGGAGGGCCAGCTCGTCGAGGCCCTGGTCTACGGCGTAGTGCAGCGGTGTCTTGCCGTGGGCGTCGACTCTGTTGGGGTCGACGCCGTAGCGTACGAGCTTGGCCAGTAGGGCTTTGTTGTTCCCGGCCACGGCCTTGTGCGCGAGGCTTTGGCCGTCGATGCCCACCTCGGACAGGACGTCCTTATTGCCATCCACCAGAGCTACGAATATCGTGTCGCTTTGGCAGTCAGCGATGGCGCGGTAGTAGGTGGATTCGCCCGATTTGTCGGTCGTACCGCGCAACCGGTCGCCAAACTCGCCGAGTAGGTACCGAACGATATTTTTCGATTTTCTACTCGCTGAGATCAACACGCTCGAGAGAAACTGCGCGTCCTGCTTATTGCCGGGGTGTAGCTCCAGCAAGTACTCCATTATCTGCAAGGGTTTTTTAACGAGTTTAACGTAAAAGCTTGTGGTATTCGATGATTTCATCGAGTATTCAGTAGCGCGACTTTTGTTTTTGTTTTTTTTGTTTCCCCGATTCGTGGACATTCGTGGACATTCGGAGAGTGAAGTTCAACTTCACGTGTCGGCGCGCGTTCAGAAAATGTATCGGTGAGCCAAGTGGTCGTTAAAAAGACTGCTCCGCGCACAAAGTGTACGTACACTTTGGGTTGGCGCGAAAGAAGTTGAACTTCACGTTTCATTGGGTGTCAAAGAAATGGGGTACAATAAATTCTTACGTGAAATGAGAATATCATGCGTATGATCAAGACTTACCTCAGCGTTGTCCAGAGCTAGAACTACGTCCCACGTTGTGTTGCCTTGTACTTCGTGATGGTCCAATTGTACGTTAGGATCACAGCCGTGTTCGATCAACTTTTTTATCACGTTCAAATTCTTTCCAACAAAGGACTGGGCCAGCGTGATTATCGGTCTCTCGGTGCTATATTCGATGGTCGGTTTGGCACCATATTCAAACAAAATTTCAACCGCCCGAAGATCACCGTTGCGAGCGGCCAAATCAAGGGGTGTCTCGTTAAAATCGTTCAATTCGTCGATGGGCCACAATTTTTTTTCCAAAGCCAAGCGTAAGAGATCGTAATTTTTATTATTTATGCAATCATGCAACTGACACGATGACATACTGGCAAGCGATGATTTTTTTTTTTTTTTTTGTTAAAATATGTAAAGTAAAAGTGTGCACCAACAACTGGGGGAACAACGTTTCTTCTCTTGAGCAAAAACCAAAACTTATTGCTACCTTGACGACTACACTTTTGAACAGTAATCGAGAGAAATCAAGTCACCATAGTATTTACAGGGCCCATTAATAGTTTTCGTATACTTAACAACTCAACACGAATACTTTCTCGAATCGTGAAATCACCGCCAATTGTGACGTAGTTTGTATTTGTCATCCTCGTATCAAGTGATACCCTCTTCGTTGTACTCTTTTGTGATTGGGGTAGGGATGCTCAAATGGGGCGTGAACTAAAGTATTAAACGGCTGTTTCCCCAATTTAGATGCCCCTTTGATTCATACTCGAGCTGGCCACTAATTACTTGCAAATTAACGCAATTAGCAGCACATAAATTATTTATACAACTATGAGTTGTACAAACAACTTCTTTCGGCGTTTTAAAATCTTGATTTGCCATTTCTGGGAATAAAAACAATGGCAAATAATCATTTGCTTATCATAAGTGCCCCCACTGAGAGGTGAACTTTCTTATAGAAACTTGGTGACGTAGTCTTAAATTAATTTAATTTGAAAGGATTATTATTCTCTCGTGATTTGCTTCACGTCTTCGCGAAGAAAAAGAAAACACCTCAAACTAAGAGACACCGTAAATTGGTGTACACATGTATACTATTACATGAAAATGTACAATAATATATATATATATTAAAAACGTGTTGATAATATACAATAATAGACGTTATTATATCAAAATGCACATATAACCACATATACGTATGTGATACATAGATTATAAAATTAATGTGTATTAAAATATATAAAAAGCAAAAAATGCGTTATTCGACCCACCCGAGGATGATAATAAATATATATCCTATAGGAGCAACACCCACAAGCTGGCCGGTCTGTACTCGATATCGGTGTTCACCTTCGTGTACATGCCCTACTTCGTCTCGGACATCGAGGACCGAGTGCTGCCCTACCGCGGCTGGCTCCCCTATTCCCTCGACAGCGTCAGGAACTATCGCATAGCTTACCTGCATCAGGCGTGGGCGGTGACCATCGCGGCCTCGGTCAACGCGTCCACGGAGGTGTTGGTCAGTGGTTTCATGATACAGATATGCGCGCAGTTCCGGATACTGGAGGAGCGCTTCGCCCGTTTGACGCAAACGGTCAAGGCCATGAGGGACGGTGGTATTGACGAGGGGCTGGTCTTTGCCGAGGAGAAGAAGTTGCTCGTCAAACTGATACAACACCACCTGAAGATTTTCGAGTGAGTTTTTTTTTTTTTTTTTTTTTTTTTTTAAGGATTGGAGAAGCAACAAAATTCACTACATGAGGGATAAGGAAAGAGGAGTAGTGTGGGAAGAGACGTTAATTCTCTTGCCGGACAACGTTCACTATGTATTCCTTTCTGCTACTATCCCCAACGCTCGGCAGTTTGTCGAATGGGTAGCTCATTTGNTTTTTTTTTTTTTTTTTTTTTTTTTTTTTTTTTTTTTTTTTTTTTTTTTGGTGGAAGCAGAGCTTGCCGTGAATAATGAATTTCATTCAATCCTCGAAAAAACATGGCAGGTCTCTGTACAGCATCACTTTTTCACACTAGATTAAATTAATTTTCGCTTCTTTGTACCGTGCAAAATATTAGTACAACCTCAAGAGTGAAAATATAAAAGTACGTAAAAGATACTTTTTAAATTCATGTTTGTGGTCAATAAAAGTTTTTTTTTTTTTTATACTAATTTGCAGTATAGTTAAATAAAAAAAAAAAAAAAGTATAAATATTCCAAGGGTTACGACTTGCTTGTTGTCCCTAATTTTCTCATTATATGGAAATAAAACATTTATTTTTTGTTAGATTATTTCAAAACTTACTAGCCATATCCATGACAGATCGGCAGTTGCGTGGCAATTTTTTTTTAATTCATGGACAATCAATTTTTTATCCATATTTGTCAAACGATTTTTTCAATTATACGTTGTTTCCATAAAATAATTTAGGTAATAAATCTAAAATAGAAATGAGGGAAGCTGAAGAAACTAAATTATTTATTTTAAGTAAAACAGTGATTTGTTATTGCAGGCCAGAAATGATATGTAATATTACTTAATACACGATTGCAGGATGGCCGAATTGCTCAACGACATATACGTTTTTGTCATTCTGTTCCAATTTGCCGCGAGTATCGTCGTTTTGTGCGTATGCACGTACAATTTGGCCCTCTGCCCATCCGTCAACAGCGACTTTGTAACCATTTTTTTGTTCCAATCCTGCATGCTGTTGCAAATTTTTCTCTACACTTGGTACGGTAACGAGATAACTTTGAGGGTGAGTTTTTACCCATCTATGTTTTTTTTATGAGGATTATAAAAATATGCAACAAAAAAGAATAGTGTTCCTTTTACATTTGATTTGTTTTTCATTTTTTTTTTTTTTTTTTTTTTACAATGAATAACATATTTATACCTTGGAAAAATTACCTTTGTGATTGATTTTTTCCTCTCTCTCGCTGTTCCAGAGCACAGATTTGGGAAATAACATACTCCTCACGGATTGGAGACACTTGAGCCAAACTGGAATAAAAAATCTGATGATCATCTACCAGCGAACGACCAAGCCAATAATCATGAGCAGCGGATACGTAATAACATTGTCAAACGTTGCTTTCACTAGTGTGAGTATACATACATATACATTTGTGATATTAAATTTTTTAACTTGTAATATGGTTATTGCTTTCCTTTCAGATCGTCAAAACGTCATACTCCGTGTATAACGTTCTCTCGGTGTAAACCTGTTGAAAGTTATCTCTTGTTGAAGTTTAGTTTAAATTTAGACAAAATACATACGAATAATATATACTGCACATATGTTTTCGTTTTATTTACTTATTAATCAAATCATCATTTTTCAATACTTTTTTAATGACTACTTTAATACTTGTAAGTATGTATTACAAGTACAAGCATTCAACTATGGCATATTGTACCTTGTTTACAGTTTATTGAGGTCCAAGTACTCTTCTACAGTAATTTTACCTGCATTATTAGTTTTTGCTTTTTTTCAGATCTAAATTGTATTTTTAACAGCAATTAATACTAAGTTATACCTTTAGCGCTTACTCGTATTGCACAAACGATAAACTCATCAAACACTAGTGTTACCGTTATTTATTTATGCGTTCATTTATTTAACTGTTTAGTTAACTATGAATTAATTTATATATTTTTACGTTTCTTTCATTGTTTTTATTTTTTATTATTTGTTTACGCGTTTATATTTTTAACGATTATTTAATTTATTAATTTATGCTTCTTCCATTGTATATTTTTTTTTTCTTTTTTCATTAGATACACATTCGAATTTTACAATAATTAATAATAATTTTTTCCCGTAAAAAGCAACGCAGATACCGATACAGGGGCGCGGAACAAATAGAAAAAACAAAAAAACACAAAATGTAATTTATAATGTGAAAAAACACAACGGCAGTACACATGAACAAAAATATATTTGTGTAAAATATAAATTTAATTATTCATCTATTCACGTTATGACTTTTGAAACTAAGCCAGTATTTATTGCGTTTCCAAGCCTTATAATAAAACAAATAGTGAATAAAGTATAGTCTCCCCTTCGTCTCCAATTCAACTCGCTTCATTCTAGATATTACCCTTAATTACATACACATGACTCCGACGAAGGGAAGCACATAATATACTTTGCGTCGTTGCGTGTAATTATCAATCGACAACTTTTAATAGTTGCATTCTACGACCTGATGTCGATATTACGTATAAACTAATATTCTTATATGTAAGAGCTCAAGTTGTCCATACACCCACAAGATACAAAGTTATTTCAGGGGAGGCGAAAATGATGCGAGTACTCCCACTGACCTTTTTAATTTTCCAAATTTTTGGCTTTTGGCGACCGCCAGCTTGGAAATCGAGGGCTTCGATTTTCATTTACAACGCTTTTACCATTTTCATGTATACGCTCAACGCCACGTTCGCACTGTCGCAGATTCTGAGTATACTTTTCAACGCCCAAAACGTGGACGAAATCACCGAGAGCTCGTTTTTGTGTTTGTCGATTATGAGCGCTTGTTTGAAGGTGCTCAATTTATTGCTGAAACGTAACGACCTCATCGAATTGACGAACACCTTGCTCGGTGGTTTGTACAAATACCGCGATGATGACGAAGAAAAAATCCAACGAAAGTTTGACAGCACTGCGAGGTTTGTGTCGCATACAAAAAAATTCATTGAATCATTCGAGAGTTTTATTTTTTATTTATTTATTTTTTTTTTTCAAGCCTCATTTTTCTGTAATTAACGTTGCACCTAGAGTCCAAACATTAATTTTAAAAATTAGAGTACCCTCAGGTTGTTACCCAAACAAGGTTAAAATTTTAGTTTTAGTCTTAACGTTTATGTTGCTACCCAATACATATTTTCATTATTTCGTTTTATTTCTGTTAAAAAAAAAAAAAAAAAAAAAAAAAAACTTGATGAAAATTAATGTGCTCCTAAAACAAAAAAAATATTGTTATAATAGTATGAAAATATTTTTAAGTGATTCATTTACCATTATTCCAGTCCTCGAGTAATTTGTTGTTGCTCATCGGTAAACCCGAACCCTCGGTTAAAGATAATCCCAAAGCAAATCATTTGAAGTTTGTTGATTCGATAAAAACTTCGATGCCTACTGCACAAGCAATTAAGCCTTTGGCTAAATAAAAAATTTGCATTTCATGCACACCCCTCGAAAATCCCTGGCCCAATAAGATTCAATACCATTGTCTACTCGGGAATGATATCATTGAGCGCCGTGATGGTAACCCTGCAATCCTTGTTCAACACCGTACCCGAAAGGAGACTGCCCTTTCCATCTTGGCACCCTTACAACTACACCAGAAGGACCGACGTCTACGTCGCATCTTACTTCCATCAGCTGATGGGTAACATCACCTCGGCTTTCCTACACGTCGGCAGCGATACTCTCGTAACGGGCATGATGATACAAATTTGCGCCCAACTCGAGATTTTGCAGTGTCGCATGAAAAAGCTACCCGATGGACTTCGAAGTGAAAACGCTCGTAGGATGTGCTTGGAAAAAAGGAGGTACCGGCAACCCGAAGAGCTTGGGGACATTATACGACACCACGACTGCATATATCGGTAAAAAATTGTTGAAACGTGCAGTATAACTTGTAAAACGAAACGACATGGCACATTTCTTTCCCCCCACACAGATTCTGTAAAATCTTCAACGCCACCTTTTCCATGATGATGGTCACTCAGTTTTTGATCGCGGCACTGGTTACGGGCTCGAGTGTGTTCCAGCTGTCGAAAATGCAACTGTTCAGCTCGAGGTTCTTCACGTTACTCTCTTACCTGATTTGCGTCGTCGCGCAGATTTTCCTTTACTGTTGGTACGGCGATGCAGTCTCCACCCAAGTGAACTTTATTGCTATGTCGACAAATACGTCATTTCTTAAGTACATCGCGTGACACATCACTTATGCATGATTGTTTTTTCGTGTAGAGTGTCAACGTGAGCAGCATTACTTTGGACGTGGACTGGACCCACCTGGATTCGGAGACAAAGAAAAGTTTGTTGGTCATGATGGCCAGATCGAGGAAACCCATAGAAATGAAAACCGGATGGATCATTCATTTGTCCATGTCATCTTTCGCAAAGGTCGATTGAAGATTATCATATATGTTTACATTGAACAGTTAATATCCATTGCACGTATTGTTCTTTGGTTTCAGATAATGAAGACCTCCTACTCTGCGTTCAACTTCATGCAACGTATGGCGTAACTCAATCAAATACGTAGTTGAGCTTATATATATATGTTCTTTGTACAAGGAAAAAAAAAAAAGTACCATTGCAGTATCGTGACGTTTTCTCTACTTTTTTCCAACAAATTATAATCCATACAACGTAAGAATTAACTTTGTTCCAAAAATGCACCACAATACCAAAGTAATGAAATTATTGGAGTCAACGCTGTCTCGGTTAGCTTCGACAAGTTTCACTCTGCACTTGTCAACTTGCGTACACTTGGGTCTCCATGGTCACCCATGTACACATATATATATATACCCATCAGTTCGGAAATAATCCGATTCATGACATATTCAGCGCATCTCTCGGTAACAAGCCTTTACTCGCCAATCATGTCTTACCCGAGACCGCTTATTACAAGCTCTCGCATACTTGATACAATGGCCGCGTAAGTATCGGTTTGACAGAGTAGGGATACCAAGTGTGGAGGGTGTATGATTAAACGAGCTCATTATTAAATTACCCCTATACATATACCTGTTTTTCCGATTAAAGTCCCCGTACCTCCTTAAATGTATAGTTTTCCGATCGATGGTCGCGCGTATCCCCCTTGGTTCCGCTCTTGCGTATACCCGCAAACACCCGTGAAGGTGCACCTATACGGTCAAAAATGAAAATACTCCCAATACCCTTGGCAATCCTGACGATTTGCGGGTTCTGGCGACCCGCGAGCCTCGAGCCGAACTTCATAGCCAAACACGCGTACAATTGTTTCTCGTGCTTTGCCGTTTTTTTGATCTACACGTTCACCCTGAGTCACTTGGTCGGTATAGTCATCAGCGCCCAAGACTTCGAGGGACTGACCGGTAGTTGTTTCATGCTCCTGTCGATGCTCAACGTTTGCTGCAAAATAACCAACATCCTTTACTTCCACCGCGGTATCGCGGAGTTGACGAACATCCTGGAAACTGGTTACTGCGTTGCTAGAGACTCGGTTGAGCGAGACATACAGCTCAGGAACCACAACAAGGCCAGGTAATATTTCTTTTTTTTTTTTTTTTTTCAACTGCATTACATGCCGATCGAAGCCGTTTGTAACTTCATTGATTTAATAACCGTACAGGATTGGATGAAAATACAAATGAGAATAAATAATTAAAAGCATGCATTGTGCTGGTTAACTTGTTGTCTTTGTTCCAGAGACTCTTTTAATCTTTCTGATTCATGCATCAAAAATATCTGACATCCTATCAAGGATATCAATGCTGAAATCAGTCGTCAACTACATCGTTGATTCTACGCTGATTCCATGTTGAATCAGCGTTGATTTAAATTGAAGAATATTGGTATTTAACTTCAAAACGAGGTTGTTTTTTTTTTCCATGTTAGCATCGCAGCTAAATAAAATCGGCATTGATTAAACGTGGAATCGACAATGTAATATATACGATTGACTTCGGCGTTGATTTATACAATTGATAATTTTGATTATTTGAACGTATATATATTAAATATATGTTTGCCATGGATTTTCCACATGAAAAAATCCCCGAGAATAATCATGAGAACTCCACGTGAAAAATTTGGGCAAAATTTCACGCGGTCCTTACAAACGTGGCTCATTCTTAAGGTTCTCGTATTTCGTTTCCGCGCGTCGAAACCAATGTTCTATCTGATCCCCGCAACAGGCTCGTAACGCTGTTCTACCTAGCCCTGACGGAGACGACTTGCACGCTGATAACGGTGCGCACTTTTTTCCTCACCCCCCACAAGATACTGCCGTTCAAGGCTTGGATACCGTACGCCACGGAGGGCTCGATCACCCGGTACTGGCTGACGTTCCTCCACCAAACGATCGCCCACGTGGGAGCTGCCAACGTGCAAATCGCCAACGACACCCTCATTTGCGGACTACTGATACACGCCTCGGCCCAACTCGAAGTGCTGAAGCACCGGTATCGAGTAATAACCGAGGAATCGGCGAGATCGGCGGACGGAGATGACCGGCTGAAGCGTCTGGTCGACTGTATCGAGCACCACCGGTGCATCAAACTGTTGGGTCTTTTTTTTTTTTTTTTTTTCTCTCCATTGCGTGACGAGAGATGCACGCACAGCTGAACCAATGCCAATTGTTTCAGGTTTAGCGCCAAACTGAACGGCACCTTCAACGTCATAATTTTCTTTCAATTCGTGACCAGCTCGCTGGTGTTGTGCTCGAGCGTGTACCTCCTGTCGAGGATGACTTTGCTCAGCGTGCACTTCATGTCGCTGTCGCTCTACCTGTCCTGCATGCTCTACCAGATATTTTTGTTCTGCTGGTACGGTAACGAGGTCATTTTACAGGTATGTAATGGCCAACCACGAGTATACGTGCGCGTGAGTAAGCAATTTTTTTTTTTTCTTTTTCCCCCCCCCCCCAATCAGAGCAGCGATCTCGTCGGTGCCATGTACGCGATGGATTGGACCGTGTTTGGCATAGATGACAAAAAGAATTTACTTCGGATGATGATACTCGTGCGAAAACCCATCAAGTTCACCAGTAGCTTCCTCATCAATTTGTCCATTGACTCTTATTGCAAAGTAAGCATTATTTCCTTCTACCGTTAATTATCGAGTGAACAATAATCGTTGGATTTTATACGGCTTTTCAGATATTGAAAACATCGTACTCGGTTTTTAATTTCCTTCAAAGAACGTCCATGTGATGCACCCTTCGTTTCTATTTTGCTGAAGATTTACCAACCAGTTTGCAAACGTTCGAGGTACACTTGAGGCTTTTACAAGGAAATTCTATTGTTTTCATATAAAAGACATTCAATTGTTATTTGGTAATAGTTAGTGTACCCCCATGTAGTAGAATTCAATGAAAAACTATTGTAAATAATGAATATTGTAATTTACTAGCGAAATACCGTATTTTTATTTTTATTTTATCAGTTCCAAAAAAAAAAATAGTTAATCCTGTAGGTTTGTTCGCCACTTACCTCGATTGGTGTACCACAAGATCTCCAGACAAGTGATCTTGAAGAAAAATAAAAAACAATTTATTGGCATGCCTTGATAACATAAAATTTGGTTACGTTTTAACTTTGTAGTTTTTAAAAAAAATATTTTTACACTAAATAATAATTACATCACGTGCAATCATTCAGCTTCGAATAGAAAAAATATGTATTCACAAAATTGTTCTTTAACCATATAAATATAATAACTTTATAATTCAACATAGTTTGATACAGTTTATACAAAAAGAAAGATATTCAAAAGATAATGTTTTTGTACCAAAAAAAAAAAAAAAAAACATTTTTTTGTGTTGTACACTTATATCTATACGATACCTACAGAGGCTACTATACTCTATGCATAGTTTTACCCGCGTACACTTGTTTTATAAACGTCATGAAAAATTTCATTTTCCACACTAGAAAACCGCGTGAAAGGCGTCCATTTTCTTGCACTTTATTATGAAAAAAAAAAAAAAAAAAAAAAAAAAGTCCAATGGCCCTTAATATTATTCCAGACACATACGACTGGTCTCATGCTTCATAGTTATCGCAAGTCTTTTCAAATCCCTCGCGTTGAGGTAGTCAGTTATATTTGACATAACTTTGTTGGGCAAACTTTGTTGAAAGTCCGTTTTGCTGAGAACACTTTGAAAAACATCATTCAAATGCTCTTTAACAACATCCAGCAACACCTTCTTTTCAATGGCCAAATCAATGCGGATTTTCAATGCACACTGGTAATACTGGAGTTTACATTTTTTATCAAGTTTCGAGCTCATATTCGTAAATTCATGGAGATAACTCTCGTTGTTCAATATTTTCACAAACGATTCGAATGGCATCGTGATGATCTTATAAATGGACATGTCGCCCACTTTGAGCACCTCCAATATGTCCAGCAAGCGGTTACAGTCCAAGAGAACTTTGGGCATCGACTCAAATAGTCCTTGCGCCAGATCCAAGCATCCGATTGATCGGTTCAATCGCGTTAGAATGACGTAATAAAACAGCAACAAGTACACCAATTCCTTGGGGGTCGACTCCTTAAAAATGTAATGAAAAGCCCAAGCTATTCCGGTGTAAATCGATCCAATGTCATTAAATTCCCAAAGTAGGCACGCCACTTTCAACGCGTCCTCGTTATGATTACTCGAGGAATAAAACTGCACAGTGGATTCGGGGTAGCACCTGTTGGTTGAAAATGCGATTATTCGATCGGCAAATATCTTTGGACCTTTTTTTTTTCTGGTCAAATGTGGCAAACCTCTCGGATCGAAAACCAGCTTCCAGGAGCATCTTGACGATGCTGTATCGGCACGCCATAAAAGCCACGTGTATAACTCTGTTGGCGTATCGGCCGCAGTTTTTACGTTCCTTTACATCGATTATGTCGAGCAAGCCATCGACAATTTGTTCGTGGCCCAAATTAGTGGCAACGATGAGTTCGTGGTATTGAGGTTTATTCTTATTGAAATGAATTCCTTTCGCAAAATTGCTTCCTACAACCGGTCTTCCGAGTGTCTTGTGGTCGACTCTTGTGATTCTTGCCAGTATTAGATTCATCAGTTTTACGTTTTGTCGTTTCGCTGCCAAAAAAATCGGCGTCTCATCGAAATTGTTGGGCATACAAAGACCCGCTCCTGCAAGAAAAAGTACGAATAATCAAGAATAATCTTGTTACTTGTTGGAACGTCTTTTCTTTCACTGTTTTTGCAGACAAAACGTGGACATGCAATACTCAAAGCATACTGTTACTGTATACATTATTTCTTTTTTTTTTTTACACTGATTGTAAGTACTGTCTGTGTCACTTTCGGTTCCAATTAGATGAAATCCATTCGGTCCAACCTCTTCATCTTTTACTTAAACAAAGACTGATCGAAATAAAAAGCATGAAAATTCATGAGCAGGTGTCCGTATGTAAAACTCACTGCACTGCGATACAATGAATTTTTACGAGCTTGTATCCCCATCAGCTTTTGTTTAAAAACAAGGTGTTCAATGTTTTTTTATGTATATATATATATTTGTTTATGCAAACTACCAATCGCTAAGTTCAGATGCGCGTCTTTATTTTTGTTTTTGTGCCCTTTTCTTTGACTCAACGATTACTTTTTGCCCTATTTCCGCAGTTACGAATCTATCAAGTTTTATAAAGATCTACTCTCTAAATTTGAAATCGTGAAAATTTAATCCATCATTTGCCCAAGTGAGCAAGATTTTCACTGGCGAAATAGTGAAGAATTAAGATCGTCCATTCGTACCCCGTCCATATAAATTTTAATTCAAAATATGTATCGGTAATCCAATTAACGATCTCAATCCGAATGAACGAATACACATTATGCCGAGTGGTACCTACCAACAATAAGTTAACCAACCAATTTTTATAGTAAAACGTCAAATCAATAGAAGTAGTATAAATATTCATCATTTCGCGATAAAATCCATGAATATTCGCTAGTTCATATAAGTTAAAAGTATAATTCTTTGAAATAGTGTGAAATCGACTGTTTAAACGGTGTAAATTCGCATACGCGCTATTTAAAAAAAGTTGTATCACTATTAAAAATGGAGAGAGTGAGACATCAACGTATTGTTCTTACAATCGCAACAGAATGAGCGGAAAAAAGTGTTCGCCACGCATCAAGTCGGCACTTGGGGGAAAAAAAAAAAAAAAAATTGTATTATTCACCGTAATCGACAAGCAGATCAATGATCTTGCAGTACTCGGCGCTGAATCCCCGTTTCTTCAGCCTCAAAGCTACATGCAAGGGCGTATCGCCGAATTTATTCTTCAAATTAACGTTGGCCCCGCTCCGAAGGAGAGCCTCGATCCTGGCAACGTTCCCACCACCGACGGCCACGTGCAACCCCGAGTCACCCCTGACATCGCAGTTGTCGTTGTTGACCCGCTCGCACAGCGACTCCAGCCAACATTCCTCTCCACTTTGATGACACCTGTCGTGCCTTTTGAACTCCATGTGGCACACCAGAACCTCCGGCGAAAAGCTCCCGTGGACGTCCAATACGCGCTCCACAAAATCCTTGTGCCGCAGCTCGTCCGGCACCCTGGGGGTGTTCCTGCACGCAGCCAGTAGACTCTGATAGAAATTATTGCTCTTTGCCCTAAAAAAAAAAAAAAAAAAAAAAAACAATGTATCACGATTGGAATTCACCGCTCAAGTTTTGAATTACCAACCCGGCTTTGACGAGCTTTTCCGCCGAGCGAACCCTGTACGCCGAAATGGCAGCGTCAAGCGGCGTGTTGCCCCTCGAACTTTCAATGTTGGCATCCGCCTTGTGGTTGAGCAACAGTTGTACAATGTCCTCCAGGCCGTGGTGCGCGGCGATCCACAAAGCCGTGCGCCCGTTCATGTTGCGCGCGTTGGGATCGGCTCCGTTTTCGAGAAGAAACCGCGCTCCGTTGACCTGTGGGTTTTCCAAAAGTTTTGACATTCCCATGTGGGGTTTTGCAACCAACGGGCAGTATTGTACCTGTCGCTTCGTCACCGCCACGATGAGGGCCGAGTCGTACGTGTCTATGTCCCGCACGTTCACGTTTGAGCCGTTATCGATGAGCAACTTCATTATCGCCAGCCTGTCGTCGTCCTGTGCGGGGCCGTTCGCGTCTACGTGGTCGTACACCGTGAACAAGGGCGCTTTGAAGTTGAGGTTCCAAACGTTGCCGCAACGTAGATTCCTTGAGTATTGAGGAATACAAACGTGATAAATGTAACTTTTTTTTTGCGTCTTGAAATGAAAAATTACCTTTTTAAAAGTGCCTGAACTTTCTCACAGTTTCCGGAGCGAATCGCTTCGTCGAGGCTTTCCCTGTTCTGATGGCTCGTTGACACTGATATTCCGTCCTTTCAATGTGGAAGTACATTGATTTTTTAAACAATATTAACCGTTAAAAACATTAATACGTGTTTAACATCTTGGTTTATAAATTATGTTGACATGAAAATTATACAAATCCTAGAAATTTGGGTGACATCGGGCGTTAATGTTGGGATGCACATTTTGGTCAGATTTTGTTTAGGTGTTGAAATAAAAAAAATAAAAAAAACACGCGTTGAATATTTTTCGACAATAATACGGGGTAGACGTAATAAGAAGCACATAATATAAGTGATTGGATATGCGTATATTAGTTTAGAAATGCATTTCCCCTGAATAAAGTAACAGAAAAATGTTTCACAAAAAAAAAAAAAAAAAAAAAAAAATTTCAAAAAAAAAAAAAAAAAAAAAAAAAAACATTGTCATGATATTAATCTTTATATTTATTATTTACATTCACGTTCTCTAGGATGAATTAAATTTATTTTTTACTTATTAAATGCTGACAAAGGTATATCTTATTATAATATTATTTGTTTTGTTAACTTAATGTTATTTGTATTTTTTAACGTTATTAGTCTCACCATTATCCAGCTTTATATTTTCAGTCGGAATCAACACGTTTAGTTTACAGCTCACGAGCCTCAATAATGGTAGCAACTATGTACTAATTGCTTAAGCGTTCGACGTTTACTACTCACCTTGTGAAATTTATTTTCTATCGTAAAATAATGACTGCTGCTATCTAATCAGCTCCGTACAAGTTTTAAGGGGGCTCCTACGACTACTGCTGAGGTCAAAGACAAACAAAAAATAAAGTTTTGTTTTTCAATAAACAAATGTCTCTGAAAATCATT